ATAATATAATATCATATGTTTTAATTATGGTTCAATATTTAATTATATTTCTTGTAAAAAAAGAACAAAAAGAAATACACACTATACATTAAAATAGAAATGGAACTTAACAATTTACCATTAGAAATTAGATTGAATATTATGTCATATAACTGTTATGATATATGTCCCTACAGGTAAAACGATATCATTAAACACCCTTTTCCAACTTGGGAAAAGGTAAAAAGAAATCCATTCTGGATAATGTCTTTGACTGAATATTTAGATGGTAAAAAATCTGAATATGAAATATACTTAGAATTAAAATCATTTTACGATTATTCTTACATATTTAATATTGAATATAAGTTTAAGCATCTATGGTTTATTAATAATATTGATGATATGAACATTAATGATAGAAAAATACTGACAAGTCAATATTATGACGCTATGAGAGCACTTTTATCAATGATGCCATTTAGAACAGAAGCAGAATGGCATATCCGGTTTTATCATGTATTAGGCACTGAAGACTTCTACAAAAGCGAAGAAGAAGTTAGCGATAATGAAAGTGTTGGTAGCTATTATTAATTTCATAACCATACTATAATACTATTTATACCCTTATATGTTATAATTATATTTCAATAGTTAGTTTTGTTTCTTGTAAAAAAGTATTTAAAGAAATAAACACTATATATACTATAATAGAAATGGTTGAATTTACAGAGAAAGAGCAAGAAGAAATCATTAATAAATTCTTAGATATTGTTTTAGTAAATGACACTCAACAAGAACTCAAAAATAAATGTGATGCTTGTAAATGTAAAAACTACTTAAATCATAACAGATATAGAGACATTCGACACATAAATTTACCAAATAATATATTAAATCATATTTACAAATTTACTTATAAATGTATTTTCTGTCAAAGAAGAGAGGAACCAATCCATGAGATTGAATATGTACAAAATCATGTTGTCGAATTCTTGAACAATGCAAATATAAAAAACTGGTTGTTTGTTATACAATGTAAATTTCCAGATAAAAGTAGTTTGCCTAAAATGTCTAAACAAAGATATAATTTAATGAAACATATTTATGTTTTTCATTTACAGTATTATAAAGGACAATCAACGACAGAGTTAAACATCAAAGAATTATTCAGAAAGGTTGGCTTCAGTCCAGTCAAAAATTATCAAGAACTATATGCCATTACAATAAACATTAAACGCGAATGCAAAATGACATACAGCCCCGATTTTTAAATGTTTATAATTTAATCATACTATAATAATAACATTTATACCCTTATATGTTATAATTATAATGTAAGTATAGTGTTTTATATATTGAAGATAAAATCCTACAAGGGACACCACGCGCAACTTCGGAATATCCAAATGTTGAAAAAGATTATTAAGTCTCCTCATTGAATTATTGAACTTTTCTAAAATATTTTGGAAAATATATGTTTTTGAAAATGAACATGTTTAGGTGTATTGAATTTTTCAAAAAATAATTCCATTTTTGTTTTGGTACGGTACGCTGTACTAAAAAAATATTTATCAAAATGTGTTTAGACTGTTTAAATATGTTTTAAAATGGTTGTTTTGGGGCGCTTATTCAAAAAATGCCAAAAAACCTAGGGTGGACCCTAGACTTTTGAGTTCGAAAAAAGTTGCGCATGGCCTATCCTAACTCTGAGGCCCCCAAACCTTTCAGCTGTTGGAGAATATCTAATTTCGACTAGGCAAGACTAAGAAAGTACTGGGCAGCTGCTTGGGCCTGGGCAAGACTAAAATTTCGGTTTGCAACACCGAGCTAAAAAGTAGCAAAGTTTCCAAAAGAAGACCCGAGGCGTTTTCAAAGCGCAACGTCTCCCCTCTGTGTCAAAAAGCGTTCTTTAACCCTTCTCTATGTTTTTTAGCCCCTCAAACAAGGCGTCCTTAACAGCTGGGGCATCGGCCAGCGCCGCCGCTCAGCTCCGCGAACTCGTCGCCTTGGCAAGAACGCACTGGACGAACGGTTGGAAAACATCGGGCTTGCGTCCGAAGAAAGGTTCACGGGGCATCTTCACTTTATTCGAGGGGTCTTTTCATGAGATGGATGACACCCCGCACTTTGACTCGAGAACCCTCAAGTTGCTGGACGTTTTTTTGGTCTCTTGTGAACAAGTTGATACCCCCTTTAGACTTCGAAGTCAGGGCAATGATTCACATATATTCACCGTCCATTGGCAGCATTTGGTCGCGTCGCACGGTGATGTGTGTTGGGGCACGCACTCACTTGAATCTGACCAGGGATGCGCTCCTCATCAGTCCAGCCACCCATCTCCATGGCTTCACTGCATAGCGTCCATGGACTTCTGCACCTTGCTGGCAAGAATTGTGCTTGTGTGTGACCTGCAGTCGCCATCCTCAAAACAAGGCTCAAATGGCCGGAGGGTGCTTCCACACACAATGGCCTTGCAGGACCTATGGTTTTTGCTTGAGCTTGCATCTCGCTGCTCTAAATTAGATTGGTGTACCCTTGGATGGGCGCGTTTCGATCACATAGGCTGGAGCGCGGGATGAATGCACGAGTTGCGAGAGCGGAAAACAGCTGGTGTTCAGGAGTGGGGACGCACACTTGTCTCTTCAACTTCAGCAACTCCACCCGATTCGGAAAGGGGCATGGCAGAAGCTAGTCAGCGAGCTTGAACTTGAACTAGCTTGAGCCAGCCTGGAGCCATCCGAATATGTGTGCGCTCTATTCCCTCGGGCAAAACAGCGCCTTGGGCAGCTGCTGGTGGTGATCGCTGGCTGCTCCTGCCTTTTTTGTTGCCACGACGCAACTGCTCGCTGAACATGCTCGCCCCGGCGGCCACCTGAGACTTGTTAGCTCTTTCCACTTTGCTTGGCACAGGCGCTTTGCTGGTGACGTCGCCCGTGACCGCGTCGTCAAGGCAGGCCACTGTAACCCCTGCGGCATTTCAAAGCCGGCGGTGCACGTCCTTAAAGGATAGCCCAGCGGCCCCCAGCTGTGTTTCAGGGGGGTCGTCGGCCAGGCAGATGCGCCTGTCAGAGGCCGTCAAGGGACAGCGGCAATTGTCGGGCTGACCAGGTCAGCGTTGCCAGTCCTCCACAGTCAAGTGCCCGACTTGGCGGCCGACGTCTTTCGCTTGCTGCAGGCCTCCGGACCCAACTGACCGAGGCAGAGTTTGCGGCGCCCTCGTGGGAGGCGCTCCCGCAGCCCGGAGCCGAGCCCCCACCTTGGACCACACCGGCCCCGCCATTCGCGGGTGGCAGTCCCCAGCCGCCGAGGCCGTTTCCCGGCAGCTTCAAGGTGAGGTCCTCGCCCAGACAGACCCGGCTTCTCAGGCACTTTTGTTTCCGCAAACAGGCCCCTACAACAGCCGGGTTTTTCACCAGCGTGAGCTTGCCTACTCTCTTTCGCTTCTCCACTTGGCGCTTGCGCCTGCCTTTGCTCGCAGCTGCCGGCGCGATCGCCTTCTCGACCCTCTTGTGTCGAGCGGGCAGCGGTTCTTTTACCTCCAGTAAAGTTGGAGCCTGTATGGCAATCGGTTTCATGAAATGTGAAGCGCCCGTCCACCTTTGTAGTGGGGGCACTTTTCGTGCGTATGGAAAACGGTGCCCGTTGCCGTGACCCGGACTGTCTTGTGCCGGAATCTGGCCTGCTTAGGCCTTCGTGCCTCGCTCACCTCCGGCTCGCTGTCTTCAAAGTCCTGGGCCGTTGCCTTCTCGGGCATCCGCTTGATCTCCTTCTTGATCCACATGATGAAGGAGAGCCATAGCCACCTGACCAGGCTCAAGGCTCCAATGCCGGCCAAAATGGCCAACAACATCCAACTCCAATCTTCACTCCCCGCTCCATTGGGCTCTTCCTCCTCCTTGGCTCCGTTGGCTGCAACCAAATTGGCAAAAGCCACCACCAGAGCCATGCGATACTCGCCTTTCAAGGTGCCCAGGATTTTCTTGGCACCCTTGTCCGCCATCATCTTGCTCTCGATCTCGTGGAACTCGTCCTCTCCGATCTCGCGGTTGTCCTCGTCCACCATGTTCAGCATGAACATGAGTCCACGCATTCTGGCGCGTGCCAAGGCCTTGGTGCCGATGTCCGCGCTGTTGATGCTCGTCGGGATGGCCGTCACCCTGATCACCTTCTCGTGACACTTCTGCTGCAGCCACATCATGACTGCGTCGAGGTGACGCGTCCTGCCAATCCCAACGCGGCTGCACATTCCCCTGGCTGCACTGCTATCTGATCTGCACACCAGGGCCGGTGTGTGTCCCCTGATGAAGGACCACACGTGCCGAAGGAAAAGTCCTTCGCTGCATCCTGACACCATGGCCACGTATTCGCTCTCACCACTTGACAGTGAGATGCTCTTCTGACTTCTCACTCTGCTCTCCATGAGGTTGCCATCGAGGAACACCTGGAAGCTCGTGATGCTCTTCCTGGAGTTCTGGTCTCCGGCGTAGTCGCTGTCCGTCACGACCTCCAGCAAGTGCACTTTCTTCACCTCCACATCCTGCATTTCTCTCATGTCCAACATGGACTTCCCGCACCTGCTGCTCTTGATGAGCAAGCCGTAGAACTCCGTGGCCACCAAGTAGCTTGCCAAGTGCTCTGCATGCCTCCACGCCGTCTTGGTAGGCTTCGACATCCATGACGCCAGGGCGTTGATGGCGTGCTGGCAATCTGGCCGTTCACCTCCGATGTACAGCATCTTCCCCACGATCGACCTGAATTTCGACGTTTCCACCTCCGACGGTTCTGCACTGCCATCTCTTTTCCCAAGGTCGCTCCTCGCGGGGGTCTTCTTGTAGTTGCCGATCTTAATGTCGGCCTTCTGCGCGATGTCCTCGATGTGCTTGGGATCCGGCCTGATCACGAACCCCTCGTAGGTCCGGTCAATCTTCCTCTTGAGGTACTCGAAGCACTCGCCAATGTCGAATGGCCCTTTCCAGTCCTTGTCATGAAGGAACTCCATGAACTCCCTCCTTTTCTCCTCAGTGCCGACCATCAGGAGGTCGTCCACTGTCCAGCTTCATCAGGGTAGGCTGCATCACGTCGTCCACCATGCCGAACTCGCGTGCAGCATCCCTGAAGTGGATGTACCACCTGTTCGCTGCCGTCCTCTGCCCCGGAAGGCACCTCACCAACTTGTATCTCTTCCCTCTGTAGGTCACCGATGCTTTCTCATCCTCCGGCTGAGGAACCATCAGGAAAGCATCCTTGACATCGATGACCTGGACTCCGTAGTGCTCGGGGCAGCAGGCTGCCGGTGCAAGAGCACATCTATGCTCCAGCGGAATTGCCTGGCAACCAATCTGGCTCTTCTGAACCAACCGCCTTTCTCCTCTCTCTTCTTCCAAGTGATGACCATCTTGGTGGTGATGTCGTTGTAGTCGTTCTCCTCATGTGGCTGCAGCTCAATCAAGGCAGGCATCGCCTTCCTCGGCTTTCGCGTCCATCCTTTGGACCTCCTCCGGATCGAAATCCATGACCTGCATCTCATCGTCCACCGTCTCCAAACCGTCGGGATCTTCTGGTCCCCAATCATTCATATCGAGCTCACCGATGTTCTCGATCTCATCCCAGGCGTTGCTATCTCCATGGGGCATCACCGTAATCTCGTTGATGCTGAACTCGTCAACTCCTCTCCTCTTTGCCGGTGACTCCTCTCGACTGAGATCCTCACCCGGCCTTCGAGCCATGGAATGCTGCCTCCTCTGATCTCCTCATGGCTTTCGCCCTTCTTGCGCTTTCTTCCTCCTCTTCCTGTTTCCTGCCTCCTGGGTCACTCATCACCGCTGTTGGGGGCGGAGGCATCTGCCTCAACACCAAGGCTCTGGTCGAGCTGCTGTTGTTGCTGCTTCTGCTGGGGCTCTTGCCGATGAGCTTGATGTGGCTGTTGGGTCGCCTTCCTCATCGGGCTCCTCGGCCTTTCTCTTCTCCGCAAATCTCGGGGTGACCAACCCAGTCTTGGCTGGGGTCTGTCCTCCTCCGAAGAGTCCTGGGGTGGCCAGCCCAAGAGCCACTGCCATCCCGGCTTCTCGTGCCTGTCGCTCAGCAGAAGCCTCCTTTGCCTTCTTCTCCTCTATCTGCTCCTCAGCCTTGTCCAGCTCGATCTTCTCGCCTTCTTCTGCCTCGTCAGCTGCCACCGCGGTCCTCCTTCGAGGTCCTGTCTTCTTCATGAGCACCCCGGAGGCGGAGTAGTTCCAGGGCAGTCCCTTCACAATCACCAGGTCGGTGCCGATGAACTGATCCGGGATCCGCTTCACAGTCCTTGACTCCACAGCACCGCCTGGCGTGAGCACGATGTGGCAATCCGTCCAGGGTGATTTGCCAACCCAGATGCCTCTTCCAAACCTGGGCTCGCCCTTGAGTGGCGGTACATGACGCTCTCGCCGAACAGGCAGATTTTGCCTTGGTACCTTCTTCCTGACCACACTTCGAAGCTCGTCCTCCGTTCCTTCTCCAGCACGCGGTACCGGTTGATCAGCCATGAAGCGTGTCTGAAGCTCCATGGGTAGACGTGCGAGTTGCCCAAAATCGTCACCTGGGCTTGCTCCTCCGCGTAGTACCTGAGGCAATTTGCCAGCCTTCTCACACTCTGCACTGTCCTCTCTGCTTGCCCGTTCGAGGCATGTTGCTGCACTCCTGAGATGCGGATCTTGGTCTCTAGGCCTAGGTTGGCCCTGCAGTGCTGAACAGCTCGGAGAAGCTGCTTTGTTGACCTCTCCCCATCAATCTGATAAATCACGGGGTCTCCTCCAGCCACCTGCATGCCAAACCTGACCAGTTCCTCCACCATCAACTTGAGGTTGGGGGCTCCCTTGCTCAGCACAGGCGCTGCATGAACCGCCTTCGTGTGATGATCAGCGATATACAGCACAGTGCCGTACTGATCATCCGCATCTCTCACCTCCTCTGGGCTTCTCTCGTTGCCGTAATCGTCCACGTAGGTGTAGCCGAAGTCAAAGCTGATCACCGTTTTGGTGCTTTCCACGTCCTTCCGGGCGTCTCTCCTGTGGACTTCCTCCTTTGCTCGCGTGCTGAGGCAGGCCTGGCACCAACCGGCGAAAGGGTAGTGCGTGAGGTTGTGCTCGTTCTGCTGCTCCAGAGATGGCCTCTTGGGAATGCCCAGAGGCACAGGTTTCCGCTCCTTCTCGCGGTACAGCTTTCTCGCAATCTCTGTCTGCATCTTGGCCTCGAGGTCCATCCTGAAGTTGTCCAGCCTCATGAGCATGAGCAGCTTGGATTTGCTCCCTGAGGTAGGCAAGCCGTGCCTCTCACACCCTTCTCGCAATTCCTTCAGGGAGTTGTCGAGGCTGTACCTGATTGCATCCATTTCCACCTCCTTGCGCTGTCCACCGCGCTCCTCAGCTGCTGTCTCGTCTTCATGACCTTCTGCTGGCGCCTCTCGCATCATCTCCTCATTTCCAACTCCGACTTCCTCATCTGACCAGCCAAGCTCATCTGATTGGAGCTCTCTGAACGTAGTGGGGAATGGTGCCACCTGGACTTCTGAGTCCACCTCGAAGTAGTCCTTCATCTTCGCCGGGGCCACCACGGTGATGGTCCTTTGCGGATCTTCTGTGGGGCCAAACCGCCTGAACGCCATGTTCCCCAGCTCCGTGTAGTCGCTCACGTTCTCGACTTGCATCCACTTGCCATCCTTGGTCTTCATGAAGGTCATCCTCGCCTTCCACTCAAAGGTGCCTGACGGGTCCAGCAGCTGTGTAGCCACCGGATCACTGTAGGCCGCCAGGCCGTTTGGCAACACGTGCCAACCGGGGGTCTTCTCCAGCTCCTTGAAGCTCGCGCCAGGAAGCCCTCGAGCGCGCAAACCTCCACCGTGTTCCATTCCTCCTCATGCTCGTTGTCCTCGGCCTCCACCGAGCAGATCTCCGCCACGACCTGCAGACTGTTCTTCCTCATCTCCAATGGGATCTCCACCCCTTGCTTGTGCCAGAGGTTCAGCCCATCCTCACTTCTTCTCATCTCCCAGCCACTGCGAAGGAGACGTCCAGCGCACAGGATGGGGTGCTTCACCTTTCCCACGATGAACTTCTCAACAAAGTTCACCGGGATTCCGTCCTTGCCCATCATGGCGAAGTTCACCTTTCTTGTTCCGCTCTGCTGGATGATGTTGCCCTGAGCGTCCTTCATGATGATATGTCCACCGCTCTGGGCTTCTTCTCCAACTCCAGCAAACTCCTCCGGTAGGACTGAAATGTCCGCTCCGGAGTCCACCGTCATCAACACCTTGGACCACCCATGATCCATCTCTTCGTTCGTCACCATGTTGACCTGGTAGGTCTCGTCCTCCGTCTCCAAGTCCATAGCCACCAACGTGGCCTTTCCAATCTCCTCCACCGAGGGCTCGTAGGCATCATAGTATGGCCCATCGTTCTCGCCCTTCACCATCAGCACCGCATAGCTCTCGTCATCCACTTCCTGGATCATTCCCAGGAATTCGTCTTCTCCAGCGGTCAGGTCAAACATCCTCGTCTCGTTCATGTCGGGCGGCGTGACCAGCCTGATCATCCTGACGGTTGCCGTGCTCGCTGATGAGCTCGCCGCACTTGTTCCTCCACCTGACGTAGATCCACCTCCGGTAGTCCGATGCCAGCGGTGAAGCGGGATAGCTGGCCCAATCTCCTTCCACCTGGTTGATGTTCCTTGGGGCCCAGCATTCTCTGGATCTGTGGCCTAGCTTCCCACAGTTCCAGCATTGCTCCTTGGCCTTGCCCTTGCCTCGGTCCTGCTTGCCCTTGGCCTTGGACTTGCCCTTCTCATCTTTGGACTTGCCCTTGCCTTTGAAGTCGTTGTAGCTTTGTCCCTTCTTGGACTTGCTTGCCGTACTTGCCCTTGCCGCCCTTTCCCTTGCCTTTCTTGCCCTTCTGATAGCCGCCGATGTAGTCCACATCCATCGGGGTCGGGCCCTCCATGGTCGTCTGACTGGGCAGGCCGAGCACGTTCTCCGTGCTCCACTTCGTAGTGATCGCCTCGTATTGTTCGATGCGTCCCTTCAGCGACTCGAACGTCGTCTCCTCGTTCACCATCATCTGCAGTTGCGTCCTCACACCAACAGGGCAGGCGGAAAGGATTGATGCAACCTTCAAGTCGTCTGGGTACTCCTGAGACGAGACCCTCTCGTACTCCCTGACCAGGGCTTCGTAGGCCGGGAGCTGCTCCATGATGGACTTGTTCGGGGCGAAGGTGATCCTCGACAGCTGGGTCATCAAAGCCAATGCCCTCTGCCTTGTGCTCGGCTGCATGTCTCTCAGCAGCAGCCTCCATGCTTCGTAGCCGTTCTCTTCCGATGAGCTTGAGTGCGCGGCCCCGCAGATACGAAGCCAGCACTCCGAAGAGCCTCAAGCTCTTCACCTTTCTCACATCGCTCAACTCGTTCCAGTCGATCGCTTCCTCCGAGTTCTGGCCCACCCGCTTCATGTCCAGGTACATCTCTGGGTCCACCGCTTTGACCCAGTTCTCCAAAGTAAATTTCCAGTCCTCCCATTGCTTCAACTCGCTCTCGCGGGTGTCAGCCTTGAAGACCTCCGGCCCTTTCACGTTCCGGGCCCACTGATTCTGCTCCTGGCTGCGGGTCAGGCCATCCAGCACCTCTCTGATCTGTTGAAGCTGCTCGGCCATCGCGATGAAGGTCCGCTTTACAACCTCCGCGAAGATCTGCAAATAGATCCTCTTCACCTCCGTGTAGTCCGCCTTGTACCTATACTTCTCAAGGCCACCTAGGTCGTCCAGGTCGCAGCTGACTTGCGCCGGCTGCACCTCCACTCTTCTCACTTTCCACCGACCACCAAACTCGAATTGAGGCCCACCGATGTTGACAACCTCCTGGGTCCAGCTCGGATCTATTCCTGAGCTTTCTGCGATCGTGCCCAGCAGCAGGAGGATCGGTAGCCAGGGCACTTTTGCTCTCCTGGTGGTCGGGGTCCTTGGTCGTGCCGTCGTGGTTCTCCCTGGCCGGGCTGCCTGCTCAAGGGCAGGTCTTACAGCACCGGCTCCGCTACCATGTCGAGCGGGCAGCGGTTCTTTTACCTCCAGTAAAGTTGGAGCCTGTATGGCAATCGGTTTCATGAAATGTCAACCGTGCATCATGCTGTGGGTGTGACTGAATCTGAATGCTAGTCTGACATCTTGGCGACCATCGTGCAGCTTGCCCCCGGTCCGGTGCCTTGCGCAGTCGCGGCTGCCCTCTCGAGCGCGCTGCTGCGCGGGTTTGCCGCGTCACAACCAACACCCTTGTGCGCGATTTGAATGCCCCTGTCGACCGCCCGGACGACAGGCGCATTGAGGTCATTGCTAACGGCTTGCCCCTGCGGAACGGCGCCCAGCTTGCAGTCGACACGACCATTGTCTCGCCCCTCACGCGCGATGCCGTTCCGCGCTCCTGCCGTGACTTGGCGCGGCCCGTGGCCTTGCTTGATGCCCGGCGTCAGAAGGAGCGAACCTACGCCGAGCTCCTTCGGCTTGGAAGATCATGTGGGGCGCACCCTGGGCATCATGCCAAACGAAGCGCGACCGAGAGGCATAGAATTGCCGAACAAAGGGGAGCATCGCATTTGTCCCCGGCACGTGGCGCGCCTGGCGGCTGACAGTGTCAAAAGTGCCAATGCCATCGACTGACAACACGGTAGCATCCGGGTCGAACTCGGTAGCGAAGGACAGGGCGTGGGCGACTGCTTCAGCGCCAGCACGTGTGGACAGACCAAATTGGAACGGCGCACAAGCTTCCTGAAGGGTAGCTGCAGAGTGTTGTGCGAAGGACCGGGCGACCAGGCGCCGCAGAAAGTCACTGACAACTGTGCCACGGACTCGGCCGTTTGGCTTCTGAAAGGCAACCACGCGGCCGAGGCCGAAAGCTGCTGCAACAGCTGGAGGTACTTGGGCTTGCGCCAGGGCCTGGGCGACCTTGACAAACAGCTGGCTGGTGCGTTCGTCGCCCAAAACGACCGGGCAGCACTCGGCAGTAAGACCAGCAGGCCCAGCACCAGCACCCTTGCGGGCGCGCCGGAGGTTGGCAAGCAGCAAGCCGGGCGGCAGGCGCTCAGGGGACTCCGGCTGAAAATGAAGCAGGGCGGAGTCAATGTCTCCGTAAGGCTCGGACGGCCGGCGCTCAGGGTCACAAAGCTCAGCGAGGGTGGCCTCCGAGAGCGGGGCAAATGGGCTGGCCACGAGGGCGGAGCTGGCGGCCGACAGCTCGTCCAAGCGGACAAGTCTTTTTGTTGTTTCTTCCCGCGCCTTTTTCCGTCTGCTCCTGCAGGCCACTGTTATACCGGCGGCCCCCGGATGTGCTTAGGGGGCATCAAGGGGGCAGCCATTTGTATACCGGCTCACCGGCCGGGCAAGCGGGATGCGCCCGCCGGTGGCACGTGGGCAAGATTTTTTCTTTTGTTTTTTTTTAAAAGATCAGCCAGCAAGGTGCCGAGGGGAGGCAGGGTGCCACCCCCGGCATTGCAAAGCTCCGGCCCGGCAGCCTGCCTGAAAAGGGGCGAAGCAAAGGTTGTCATGGCTGCATGGGTCAGCTGGGCCGACCACCTGGCAACAAGAGCGCCGACAACACTGGGGCGCAGCCGAGCTGGCGCTTCAAGTCGACTGCAAGCACGACCAACCGGCATCTGTGCGCCCGCACGAGCTCTGGGTAGGCCCGCTCTTTGCGACGGCGCGCCACGGCGAGGGCAGCACCAGCGACTCGACCCCCGCGCCGAACGGGCTGGCCCTGGCCTGACAAGGGCGAGACAAGGGTTGTGTCCACTGCAAGTTGCTGGCCCCCCCACAGTGGGAGGCCATTGGCCACGACTCCAGCCGCCTATCGTCGACCCGGTCAACTTGAAGGTTCAAGTCCGCAAGGCGTGTGTTGGAGGTGACTCTGGCTCCAGCTTCTCTGCAAACGCGTGCGGCCGCACGCTCCAGCGGACACCCGCACCCCCAGAGCACACCTGAGGCGCAGGCTGCACGATGATCGCCGAAGGGGTCCAGAAGGCGACGGCACCGGCAGGTGCGCTCAGCAAAAGGCAAGGGGAGGCGCAGGCGGCGCAGGAGGACAACACGGAAGAGATGGCAGGGATAGGGATAGGACAAAACTGATGAGACTGGCACTGTGGTGAGGAAACGGCTAGCGAAAGGCCCGGACTGGGAGTGCAACAGCGCTTGGGCAGCAGGATCGGCACCTGCCAGCAGGGTCTCACGATGCCGACGGGCCTCGGCGGCTGCAGCTTGGCCCTGCCAGCCACGAAGGAAGGTGGAAGGCCCCTCCTCCTGCACCAAGGGCGCGCTCTCACCAGCAGACATCTCCCGCCACGCCGGGGGAGCCCAGTCGGAGTGGCCGAGTGCTGCACGTGCTGCGGCAGCCGCCGCAAAGCAAGCTGGCTGTGGGTCGGGGCTGTCGAGGTGGTCAAGAAACTCTTGCGCAACACGAGGCAAGCGGCGACTCAAAACAGCCAAGCTGTCAGCCCAGGAAGCCCAAAAAGCCGGCACGGAATTGCGAACAGCAGAGGCGAGGCCAAGGCCGCCAAGGGACAGGGGCAACTGGGCAACGTCACGGGCATGTCGCGGCAGGTCGCCTGTGCCAAGCATCACCTAGTGCCGGCAGACGCTCCAGCAACCGGTCATGCCCCGCACGGGACTGGCGGAGCTGGGAACGCACAAAGGCCGCCGATCCGACAAAGCACTGTGAGCCCTTGTTCTTCAACTGGCCGGCCGCCGGCACCAACCCAACAGGAGGCCTCCGGCGCACCTGGCTTGCCGAGGGCGGGTGGCACGCGTCCGGACAAGTTCCAAATGCGTTTCTTGCCACTCTTGAGACGCATCCGGCAGTGGGCCCAGAGCTCATCTGCAGGGTGCTGGTGAGCAAGGCCCACTCGGTCCGGCCGGGCAATGGTGATCACATCGTCAAGGAAGGCCACGAGCAACTCGTCGGGGTGCATTTCAGCGTGCAATGCTTCCAAGGCACCGTGCTGGCCGAGGGAGTAGAGAGCGGGCATCAAGGGATCACCCTGCTCCCCCCCTTCCGCTTGCTGTATGATGTGTGCAGTCCCGTCTGCGTCATGCCACACATATTCGGATGGCTCCAAATAAAACATGCGCACAAAGGGGAGGCACTGGTTCGCCCCCGGGACACGGCGAAGCCCCTGCAGCATCGCTTGGCGGCTCATAGTGTCAAACGCACCGACCCCATCAACGGAAACAAGAGTGCTTTCAGGATCAAGCTCGAGGGCGGCCGTCAGCAAACGAACAACACTCTCCGCACCAGATCGCGTGGACAAAGCAAACTGAAAGGGAGAGCAGGCTTCCTGGAAAGCCTCCGCCTTCTGCTGGGCAAAGCACCGCGCAACCAAACGGCGGGTGAAGTCGCCGATCACGATGCCCCGGACTCGGCCGTTTGGTTTTTGGAGAGCGACCATGCGCCCGAGGCCGAGTGCCCTTGCCGCATCTCTGGGCCTGCGCAACAGAGATCAGAAGCCCCCTCATCGTCAAGGAGCACACGAGCGACCATACGGCTCGGCTGGGCGCCGATCGGGA